CCCCCCCCCCCCCCCCGTTCACATGAACGGCAAGATCTGTTCTAGGCCTTAGTAGCTGCTCCTACGGTTGTCGATGCACGCCGCCGCTGCCGACCCGACCGGGAAACGCGTGCCCCTGTTGCAATTTTGGGGCTGAAGCTTGCCCTTGATTGAGCAGACGGAACTGAAACTGTCAGTATTCAACCAGTCTTGCTGTCCAGCACTGCTTCGGTAGACGTTGTGTTCCTGACGTGTCCTACCTATTGTCGAAACTCGCTTGTGTTGGCAACCGGATTTTTTTCAGCAGGCTATTTTTCATGATTCCGGACGAACCGTGCACCTGCACTACCCCCGTGTTTTATCTGGGGCACCACGCCTCAGTACTCAATAACCCTAAAGCCCTCGTATGCGTCAAGTTGAACGGGACCCGATACCTGGCACGATCTAACATTTCCACATTACGCAGATTGCTGTGGTACCGCGCCGGGAGAGCAGAATACCTTCAACCCTTTCTCCTTACCCTTACCTTGAGCATTTCCGTTGCGTACCCCCTCCGGCGGAACTTTTCCGCGACGACGACCGAGTGGATGCACAGAGTCTGCCCGTTCGGGTCGTGCAGGTGCATGGACTCGTGGGACAGCTCTTCCCCCTGGCTGCAGGTGCCGCACACGAAACCGACCACTTCCCCCGCCTCGCCGCCGCCGCCGCCGCCGCCGCCGCTCTCTCCCTGGGCATGAACAAACGCGCGTTTGCCGCTAGGGATCGAGGGTTAGGTGTACTCATGACCGTGCATAACGCAGTGTCGTTAGACCATCGACCTCGCATCTCTGCAAAGCCGGGACGGAGCACGCCGAGTTTTCACCGGACCAGGCTAGCACATCAGCGCCGTGAGGTGTTCAGCGAGTCGCGTGGAGGATGGGGGGGGGGTTATCCTTCGTTGCTCGAACCAGGCCCTACTGAAGACAACGAGTTTCAAGCGCCGCTGAGGAGTAGGGGATAGCAAGGAGGGATTTTTGTGACGGCAAAGGTTGGGTGGCAGCACCTTGGTATCGGCCATACATGCTTCACTCCTCCCACACGCCCCATGTACTTGGGAACCTGACGTCCAATCTGTTGTGTGCCGTCGTGTTTGTTCCCCCCGACAGCATCTTCACTTGCATGCCAGCCTCTCCGCTTGCCCTGCCCAACATGAGCACGAAAACAACACCGTACGCTCTGCCTCCGAACCCCATTCGCCAGACAGCGGTGCCGGTTTTCACGAACGAACTGCGTCACCCTGATCCCTTCTCGCCACTCTTGTTTCCCACCTCCCGTCGGGCATGCAATACACTGTTAATAAAGCTCAATCGGGGGGAACCAATCAGTGATGAGCAATGGTGTACATACCAGTCAAAGGCGCGTGTGTGTGTCTTTTGCACCCGTTACTCACGGCAGTCTTTAGAGTAGCCTCGAGGAAGAACTCGCCGGCGTTGGCACGGCGGAAGCGCATGTTCTCCGGGCTAGCGGCTTCGTCTTCGGGATAAGAAGCCGTTTCGATCTCCACCGCCTTCGGGAGATTGGCTTCGGAAAGCCCCCGAACCTGTTCGTTGTGCGGGGTTTTACGCGTGTTTGTCACTCGGTGTGGGATTCGATCTTCTGGAACGTAACCTTCATCGAAAATATGGACCAAACTTTCTGAAGAGCACTAACCCCTTTATTGTCAAGTACAGCCGAGCGCAAGATTGCGAGCCATCGCACGATCCGGGGATAGCGCAGATTCCGGGAGACATCGCACCCCCGTGCGATCACAATAAAACGGCTGGTACATGTTTTCATTCGGTTTCCGCACAGGGTCTGGAGTCATCGCACAGGGGTGGTTGGGTGCCAACGATTCCGGGGCAACTTTTACCCCTGTAACCATGCCGGTGCTGGCATGTTAGCTCCGCTGTACACAAAATATGGCATCGTCGCATACCGTATGTATGCGGAGGTATGAAGGAGATCAAAATCAGCGGTAAATTCCATTGATATTTTACACATTGAATCGGTCAACTTTCTTATCTACTCCACCAAAACACCAGCAAGAAAACAGCAGCCACAAGGTTGGTAACTAACTACCTCTAACATGATTGCCGGTGGCTGCTGTGTGTCGCGTGCGCGTACAACTCGACGGCAGGGAATTTTGTTTAAGTGCGGACGGCATTTCATATTTCGCCGCGTTTCATTTCGCCGCTTAGACTGTATTTGATTTGTGCGTGTGTCTTCGCTCAAATATCATCCACCGCGCTAACTGGTTGACTGATGGGCCTGTTGAGCCTGCCTGCTGCAACCACAGCACGACCGAGGTATCCGTCGTTCCGCAAATGTCTACTCGAGTACCGCACATACCGGAGTTATCGCACAGGGGTGCGCGTCAACCATTTAAACCACTTGATTCACTTCGATGCCCGCACAGGGTCCGGAGCCATCGCATAGTAGTCCGGAGTCATTGCACCCCTTTGCGATGAAAATGAGATGGCGAAATTGTCCAAAAAAACGACCATCATTGTGGGTGCGATGACTCGCAATCTTACGGCATGTTGCCATCGAGGTGCTGTGCTTCTGCGTACAACCTACGACATGACAACGGCTAGTGCCTTAGAAAACACGCACCTCGAGTCCTTTGCTCTCCAGCGCAGCCAAGGTCTCTGGGCTGAATGGCGGATCTGAGGAAATTAGCAACCAGCAGCAGCAGCAGCAGCAGCAGCAGCAGCCGTTGATCACGTCACAGACACGACAGTCATCGGAGAACGGTACAACCCAGCAGTGATACGCCAAGTCTTCTCTGAAGGTCTTGGCCGTGTTCGGTTACGGGGAGCTTCTTCGGCGCAAGAGAACAGAGGCTTTCGCGTGGAACCGGAGCAGTGATCGACCTATGGGCGGCAGAGGGCGCGGGTGCATCACGCGCACAGATCCATAGCAGCTCCGCGACTGCAGCTAAAGCTCTGCGTACCGGCGACCCGGTGCGGGGTGGAAGCGGGTTATTGTAGCTGGGTAGTACTGCTGTTGCACACCATATTACCCGGACAAGGGATAACGCTGCCAGCCTAGTGTAGTTGCTAGCGAAGGCAGCGAGGTGCGCCGTCTACAGCAGGCAACGGAGCAGTGAGCAAACGACGCAACGCAACGACAGCGAGACCACAACAGCAGCGCAGCAGTACCTGAGGGGGGCGTGTAGGTCGGACCCGACATGACTACGGCTGTTCGGATGCTGCTCCTGCGCCCGCTGCTGCTGGTTCTGCCTCGGGATAAAGTGGGCACCGAGGGCACCAGCAAGCTGGTTGCAAAGGTCGACAACAGGAGAACCAACCACAGCGACACCGCGCGGAGCGAGGCAGAATCCATGTAACCACGAGGAAATGCGGCCAAATTGGCTGCTGAGGCGGCGATGGAGTTGTAGAGAATGGGTTCTTGCGGCGTTCTCGTTCTCGCTATGCAATTGCGCCGCTCTACGGAGCTATCAAGCTTTCAAGCTGTGCAAGGCAGCCTCTAGCCCAGATTCTAAAGACGGAGGCAGAGGATAGACTGAAAACTTACGTAGCTCACGGGACACACTGGAGCTCACGAGATGTTCCCATCAGCCTGCTTGTATGTTTCGTTGGCAATCGTAGCGATAGCATGCGTCGTCTTGCCCGGCGATGGCTTTGTTGCGAGATCGCCAGCACCTCTCATGAGGCAAGCCTCCCGGCACGTGGCAGACGGGCGCAGTAGATTAACAACCGCCGCCGCATCGGGCCGAAGAACGACGATGATGGCTGGCGATCTCGATGTGAGTCTTCTCTACCTCCGCGTGGATTGTGAGGATATTGGCGGTAGCCCGGTTTATGTCGTGATACCGCTGTATCCTTTCTTGCAGGTTTTGGCGTCGGTTGGGGTCTTGATGTGAAGAGTCAACAGCAGCCCTGGGTGCTGTTCCTGGGTGCTGTTACTACCTACTGCTGTACGCTGCCGATGGACGAGCGAAGCCCTAGCCGGCTATCTAGCTAAACATGAATGAGACTCCACCAAACAGTTGTGCTCATCTCGTTATGCCATGGCTACGCTGTGTCCAGCGCCACGTCGTTAGGCACAGCGACGTTGCATGCTACTACTGGGTACACTGCTGTCACACACCAAGCAAGATACGTGTAAAGTAATTCGAAGAATGGTTGAGTTGTTGCGGGCCGGCCGTTGTCGTTCATCTCGCTTTCGGTAACCACTGCTCAACACTTCCGTATGCACGAACTCTCTATTGCCACTGCCAGGAAACGAAAGGAGTAACCGTAGACCTAGCGGAGTACAAGGGTGGGGCGGTCACCGTGCGGGTCCCGCTCATCGAGATCACCGAAGCGCAGGCAAGAACAGAAACAGATACTGTCCGTGCACGACAATGTTGCAATATGTATCCCTCCCTGTAGCCCATTCTTCTCTCTCGTTTGAAGCAGGCCGAAGACTAAACCATTGGTGCTGCAGCATGTGCTATGCACCGCAGGCAGAGATTATCTCCCTGCAACGATGGGTCTGTGGGGTTTCGTAAAGGCAAATCTAAGCCGCTCTTCTTCACGCTCCCAGCACTGCCCGCAAAGAAGTTCTGCGGGCCGGTCCCAGTTTGTTTATCTTCCGGAAAATAGTAATTTTACTCAAGTTATACTTGTAATAATAGTGGAGTAGAGTAGGGCCGATTTGTTGTTGTTGTGACACTGATCGTACCACTGTACATACTACAGTACCTTGTCATTGGTTGTTCATTGGCGACCACCTCCTGCGCCTACGGCGCCTCCGACGGCCGCGCCTCGAACGGGGGTAGATGCATACAAGTACATGTAGAGGGGAAGAAGAGGAGGTCAATATATCCATCTTCAGCCAGCTACATTAACTTGTAGTAACATTGCTGATCGTACTACTGCTGTGAGAATGCATTAGATTTATCATTGGTCTTCGAGTGGCGGCCACCTCCGGCGCCTGCGGCGCCGGAGGTGGCCGCACCTTGAACGGGGGGAAGAAAGGAAGAAGAGAGAGGTCAAGAGATCGCCATCTTCAGCCACCTTCTTGTAGTAACAACCCTCTAGGCGTGCATGTATTGTGGACATGTGGTGTTGTATGTATATGTTGCATGTGGGCACATGTCGCGTTGCTGTGAGTGGTGCCTCTCCTTCTTAAGATATATGTAGATCTACAAAGAGAGTAAGAGAGACTGTTGATCCATTTTTGGTTTCACTGCCCACGAAATGATGCGTCTCGTGTAGTACGTACGGACTTGTGCGCCGCCCATCCTGCTTGATGACTGATGTATGATGGTCAAGGTATGTATGCAGACGACAGGTATGCAGACCTCCTCATCGGCGCTGAGTTACCCAGAAAACAGCCTAATTCTTGGCGTGAGAAAGTTTCGTACTGCGCACTTCGTTTACTGGTGCTCTGTGTGACCCGGCAGCGATGTACGTGTGTTAAGCGGCCAATGATACCGGCGTCGTTGTGTGTGGAGGCCGTTTGTGTCCGAGTTTTTCGTCGTGTCCTACCATAGAAGCATGTTTGTCGCGTTTGACTTGATTTCGAAAATGAAGCGGAGGGAATTGAGCCTGAACGAGGAGGCGTGACAAGGTCGGAGCCAGATTATTAGCTTGCACGTGGTTCGCCCACACAGGGCCCAGTTTTGATTGAAACTGGGAATACGTCGCACCGATGTACGCTTTCGTCCTCCGTATTCTGCATGCGTTTGCTCTCCCAACGGGATACGGTGCGGGTGTCCGTGTACTCTCCATAGTCTCATCTCGGGATATTCTACGGGCTTGCAATGATTGTCGCGTGGAGAACTTGGTACTGCTATTTCTCGCACGCTACACGGACGGTATGTGACGGCGGTTTGTTGGCCCTTCTCACCACGCAGGTGGAAGCAGCCTTGCAGAAGTCGAAAAAGCCGTACAAGCTTGTCCCGGTCCGATTCGTCGAGGAGGGGGGCACGAAGATGGGCCACACGGTCATCATGAACTGGGACGCCAAGGTGCAAAGGTTTTTGCTATCTTGAAGTAATAAATCCTCGCATGTTAAATATATGGTGGTACATGTAGGGCGGTGCTCACACCCGCACGGCCGATGTGCCGTGTGATTTTCTTTTTAGTACCGAAGCTTCAGTACGACGTTTAAAAGCTGAGAGCAGCCACTTGCAATACGCATCTCAACGCCGCTTAACACAACCGTGAGCACGTGTTGGGAATCCTGAAGGCGAAGTCGAGAAGAGCTTGTTTTGTCCACCAACGGTTGTAGACATCTATTCACACAGGCCTGTCCCTCCCCAGACGCCGCTCCATATCTTCCTGCTAGCATTTTCATTTTTTCCCGGCTTTCAGACGTGCCACCCCCATTCTTGCTCGTTGAATTATCTTCTTGTGTTCCCAACAATATTTCCGTTGCTTCGTGGCCGCTTGTTTGCATGTCTTTTTTCGCGTTGGCGTCGACGTGAATCATTCGGTTGCCTAAGGTCGACGGCCGGCCCGTCCCTGGCGCTAAGAAGGAGAACTTCGAGCTAGAACTCAAGGTGAGCGGGTGATCACCACGACGTGATTAGGATTAGGACTAGGGTTAAGCCTGACCCTAACCCTAACCCTAAGTTCTCGTCTAGTCCATCCTATCCTACGCACGTACGACTTGGCGTGACGTGTCCGCACAGACCTTATCGGGACAAAACACAACAGCTGGAAAGGTTCATGTGCCCACGTGTGAGCTTTCAGTGCGCTGAAGAATACCGAACGCAGCACATGCACGTTCACCGCCGCGCGTTCGATGTCAGGCAGTTGTCACCATGCCTCAAACGGCGGCAATATTTACATGTATCAAGGCCACAGCGTCCTAAATTATCACGGAAACGACGTGTTTTTGGCCTGGTTTTGGTCGTGTCGCGCTCGGATCGTGCTGTCTCCGCGGCGTGACGGGAAAAATACAGGAGGGACACCCCGAGCCGTGGGCAACGTTTGCTTCGAAAATGGCCGTTGGGATGGGACAGATGGAGACCAAGGTCTTCCCGGCAACCTTCCCGGGAGACTTCGAGGTATGGACAAACGAGACAGAATCGATAACCATGGCGGCATTGTTGCGACCGAAGCAATTCTGACGGAAAAGTCATCCTAACAGGGACCGGTTTTTGTTGGTTGCTGATGAAATGTGGAGTCTCAGCATTGCTGTGTCGTAAATACAGGCACCTGATACCCCACACTACACCACTTGCGCTTTTCGACATGCCACAAGAGTCTCTGCTCCCTCCACCTTGCTTTAGCCACGCCTTTGAGCAGTATACGTACGACGTTCAGCTCTCGATGCGTTGCATCGGTATGAAGGCGTGCTTGCCCGCTTTCCAAATGTATGTGTATCGTTCGTTATTGGCCCGCCATGGAGGTTCACGTCGCCACAGATATCGTGCGTCGTATTGCCAACATTGCACATGCCGCTGTAGATATCTACTGTTGAGGCTGAAGTTGTTTGTCATCTTCACATCTCAGATGTTGCGGTCTTTTTATCCTGTACATATGCGGTCCGCCAAAGTAACCCGAGCAAGCGTGTGTGCTTCCCCGTGCGCGACAAATCCTCTTGCTCTGTTTCATTTGCGTGGAGAGAAGATCGAGGGCTTGAGGGGCAAGCAGGCGTTGGTCCAGGCTGTGGTGAAGAACATCGCCAGGAAGGAGGTCAAGGTGTGTTGACAATATCAAAACACATGTACCCGTGATTGTTTGTTTTCCCCTTTGGAAGAAGCAGTGCTTGCTATGAATAGAAAACCCTTCTTTTTTTTCGGTGGGGTGACTGCACAACAGGGGGCCCGATGTGACCACAGAATGAGGGGTTGCAGCGGAGAGCCTCGCCTCCACACTGCACCTGTTGCACGGCTTTCCCGTAGATCTTTGTAGATGCTCCAACATGCAGATTCCCTTCTTCAAAACATGCAAAAACGAGGCCAAAGTGAACGTGCAACACAGTAAAGGTTTCCACACGATCAAGACACCTCTTGCACCCAATCACCGAAAACGAAGGAGCCCGAGACCAGGAGCGACGACGAGATCAGGGCCGCTCTGCGGGTGAAGGGGGAGCAGACCGTGAAGGTGAGCCAGCGGACAAACATGATGGAATTGGCTTCCTCGTTTTCAATCAGCAGCGTCCATGGTTATGCGCACCGACTTCATGGCAGTTGTAGAGATGGACATTTTTTCACGAGGGTGGGTGGGAAAATCCGATGCTGCACCGATATCAAGTGCAAGCAGTTCGGGCACCGGCCGGATGAAACACGTACTGCATGTGATCGTGAAGCTGGCAGTGGGGTATGGCAGTACCAGTGAGACCCAACCTACAGATCTATTCTCAGGCGGGTTTGCTTGGACCAAAGTGACTGAAGAGATATTTAGATACTAGTCTATGCCGGCGTCGTCTGTAATGATCTTGAGCACGAAAACTATCCGGGTGCCCTCGAACGGCTGTCGCTATGCAAGGTGGTGGCCTCGATATTTTGTCGCATCGAATGAGAGTTGGAGCATCAGGAATTGGTCCCGCCGTATTTTCCGGGAATCACACCGATGGTCGCTACTGTTGTGTAGCGCCATGCCAATCCATTGAATAATTTCGTTGTGTCCAGATGCGATGATGGGCATAACGGCACGCTCGCGCGTCAGGACCTTCATGCCGCTGGTGTCTCGTGGAAGAGCAGGACAAGGCATTTCTTGGTTTAGATTGTTCGTTGCTGGTATGTATCAGACACCCAGCCCATCGTCAACCCCCCTGCCACTCGCTGGGCATCAACTACCATTTTCTGCCGATCCCGCATGTACGACATGAACTGGCCTGACAATAAATATTGCTCTCTGGTAATTTGCTCCCTTTGGTTTCTGAAACTGTCGACAACAGAGCCGCACCGACAAGGCCGTTGACGAGGCTGTGAAGAAGTTCCTCCTGAGTTCTTGCAACGTCAACGCCGATAAGGTAACTTCGTGCTCATGACTGCAGTATCTATGCTTTGGTTTGGATTGTCAATTGACGTGTTTGATTCCATAACAACGAGCACGCGTGTGAGCAGGGCCGCAAGTAGGGCAGTAGGTGATGTTAGGTTTTTGTTTGCTTTTTCTGCGTTTGGCATGAACCTCAGACCCCACTTCAATCACCCCGACGCATCTGTGCTTGTATGTAGGCACCGCGTGTAGGCACCGCGTGATCGCCAAGGCTTGCCGAACAACCCGACTGCTGCACACACGCGAGAAAAACGTGTTGAGCGTTTCAACGAACCCTCGAGGCATGTACCGAAATGCATGTAATTCATACTCGGAGTATGTCATCAGATGGCAGTGCACTGTATAACACCAGCCGACCCCCCCCCCCCGCATGCGGATGCCCCTCTCACAGGTCTTGAACGCGGTGTCGTGGGCGAAGTTTGGGGAGCAATCGACACTAGACTTCAAGTGGAACTGCATCAAGGAGAAGATCGCTGTTGCCGAGGGCATCGAGCCTCGCGCAGTGGTGGAGTTCCTGCGAAATGAAGCCGAAGTGATTCTCATGGAGAAGTGAACCAAGTACTTTTTCAAACGAGCACAGGATCGTATTTGCGTGCCGCTTTCTCTTCGCTACTATTCCTGGAATTGGAGCCCCCGTTTTGTGCACTCCAAAGGCCTCCTGTGTCACCCACGAGGGTCCTTCATTCTGGTTTTCTCCCAAACGGTTTGCTACTTGAGATGGCATCGTTTTGGTACCCGGCGAACACCTCGTATGCGGGGGGGGTGTTGCTCTGGACTTTGTTAGTACGCGTAGACCCTGTACGGTTTAGAAAGTCATGACACGCGGCATTGTCAAGTTGTCGAGAGGTCTCCGTCACCTCCCACGGAGGAGGACAATTTTGAGTGTTTCGGCCGAGCCCTAGCTGACTCAGCTGGGATTTTGATCTGTGTGTTCTCGGTACCTCGTAGAAGAAGTAGAAGAGCAGATGGAAAATTTACAAACGTTTGTGACAGACTTACGTAGCACGGTCTTCGTTGTATTCGCGAATCTAACTTGCACTGAATATAGAGTGGGTCATCCTCTTCACCCACTTTAAATCTGTGGCGATGAGGGATGTAAGAGGGTAAAGCTGCAAAAATAGCTGTGGTTGTAAAATTTCGTGGTAAGAGACGAAAGGCGCCGCACAACGTTTGTTTGCCCGCGGGGGGGGCCTTCGAGCTGCGTTCGTTCGTGTGCCCGTGTATCAAACTACGAACCAGCAACATCAACCGCGTTTGTCGCTGGAAAAGACCAGTCGTCAGGCCCGGCGCGTTGAGTGCGATTGCCTGTCTGTGCGTTATTGCGACCGTCAAGCACCATCAGTTTACAGCAATACACGCAGCTACACTACTGCTTCTCATTTGGACAAGTCATACCACGAACGGATAGTCTACATACCTTCGCGCATACATCAGGTGCAGTTAGTTGTGGCGGGTCGAGACCGCGATTTTCATGGGTACGCAATACACGCTCGCTCTCCATAGCCAACTCTTCAAAAAAACCCTCTGAATGTCCACGATCTGAATGTCTGACACAACGACACAGCGTTGGTGTCCATATTTAACTGCTAGTGAACCGTAATCCATTCAGCATGAACACCCGGGGGGACTAAATATCGGGTCTCAACAGACGACGTTCATGCCTCAGGCGCCTGCAGTGTGCGGGACCCCTTCTGACAATCGTACGTCACCGCTCGCGTAGCAGCGGGTCGCAATAGTTCAACACTTCATCCTACCGGGTCACTCGATACTCTCCATCACCACAACTATGACGATGTCTGGGCGAACGAGGAGCTGCCTGTCGGCGGTGATCATGCTGCTCGCGGCGGCAATGCAGGTGCGCCCCTTTCGGGAGATCATCTCAGCTCCGTTGAGTGAGTCTGTCTCCTGGATGAACGTAGATGGCGGTGGAGGGGACGACAACCAAGATGTACGGGAGGATTTACGATGGATACCTCTCCCAGCGCCGGACCCATGCAGCCTGTGCCCGGTGCACACGCATTTGTTTACATGCGGTGATCAGCGCGCCCTTGGTCAGCATGGCTTTCATCTGCTCTTGATGTTTTTTCTTCCTCCACCTTTTACCATGCGTCACCCGGCGCAATCGCACGGGCCTCATCATGATTCCATCGCTCCCTTCCCTACGCCTTGTCCTGTATTGGTTGCCCTCCTGCGTTCGTGCGTGGACAGACGGAAGCGTTCGTGGCGGGCCCAGTGATGTCAGGGAAGAGGACCACGGTATCCATGTCGAGCTTGAATGAGGTGAGTTTTGCGAAGTGATGGCAACAAAAGCGCCCGCGCAGTGCTCATTTTTAGGAATGAACGATTCGGCAGCAGCTCCTGTCGCCAGTTCAGCTTATTTCCTTTGCTGTGTGCCAGGTGGAAAGGCTCTTCTATCTGGGTCTACGGACGCGTGCGTGTTGTTTTTTTGCCTTTTGCTGTGCACTTGTTTGCGGCTGCTTTCGGGACTTATGTGTCATGAGAACGCGCATGCTCTTGTCGTATTGTTTGTCGTGAGCTACATTTATGTAGTTTCCCGCAAGCTGACGTATTTCACGCGTGTGCGCGTGCTCCGCACTCGACACTCATGTTCCATAGACACGCGACGTATAGTTATTATAGGAAAAATAATTACACACGGAAATAATTATCTCAGCAGTTCCTCAAGCAGTTCTCACCTGACTACTGTTGCCTTTTTGGTACATTTGCATACGTTGGTGTCGTCGTACATACATACGCACGCATGTAGAGTGTACGCAGCCGGCCGGGATCTTCAAGTATTCGTGGTTGTTCACAAGGTACGGCGCAGGGCCAACGTCACACACTTACGGTGTACGGGTGGTTATGCTAATAGCGTTGGCTCATGAAGCACCCTTTTCTGTGGTTGTATTCACAGAGATTCGGAAACATATACACACACATAAGAATATAGAGATGATGACTTCGTGTTTCTGCAACAACCAGTGATCCACAGGCTTTGCCCATATACAGCAGTAATTGCGCAAGCAGTAGTTGACATGGGTGCACACTCAGCAGGCGCCTGAAAAGCGAGCTGCTGTAAAGCTGTGGCATTAATTGATGGCGTCGTTCTCTGCTGGCGAAATCCACCAAACCGACATGCCGGACAGGTATCAGTCTACTCAGCGGTTGACTCAAGACCTTTCTGATAAGATGATGGGATGGCATTTGCATACACGGGGGAGGCAAGAGGGCCCCGCGCGTATCATGTCCACCATACACAATCATCCACATAACCCCCCTGAAGCCCCGTAGATCAGTACCCTGCTGAGCACCCCAAACAGCCCTCCTGTTGGGATCTTCCGGCACCTTCCGCGCGGACTGCCAGGTATAACGGCAAAGAAATCAAAACGCCCAAGTCAACGAAATATCATCCACCATTTCAATTCAAACAACTCTGTCGAAATGCAATACGAAATCGCCAGATATTCCAACAGGACATACTACAAAGCTGTCAAATCTTGTGATGTCAAGTTACTGTCCGAAATCCGTCAATGAACAAATTACCCTCTTGAGAAAAATGCTCTACCAAATTCTCAAGAAATCCATACACAAGTCAGCACAATTGATCTCCCTTGGAAAAATAGCCCCCAACAATGCACATTACATCATAATCACGTCAGAACGGGTTCCTCTGGGAATACGTGCCCTACCGCCCTGAATACTCAGAAAAGTTCCTCAGATAAACATCATGTTCCGATGATGGACCCGTTCAAATAGCCTCCGGAAACACAAAGGCCTCAACATTACTCACGACACGAGAGCATGCCAAACCCTCCGTCCAATACCCAATACCTTTTTGAGCAAATAGACCGGTCGATCCAACAGCCCCCGTGCTGTAGCATCCATCCCGAACATGAAACCAGTACTGTTCTTGCTGTGCGGCACAACTCCCGGCAGTTTCCGTATGCGCATGTTTTTCCGTGGTTGCAGAGACGTGTCATTCTTCTTCGTCGCCGCTGCCAACTTTTATCCCCCGATCACGTTGTTAACTCCAATTCCTGAATCCGAGCCAAGCTGCCACCTTTTTCTCTGTACGTGAAGCACGCAATGTGCCTTTTGCAACGTGGGCGGCCGGCGCTCCCACCACCCAACGAAGCGAGAAAAACGCCTTGCCGCATACAAATCCTCTTGATGTCGGTTCATGCAGCGGTGGTTTCTGGTCTTTTGTTGTCCGTTTGAAGTGGGCAACATCCCTGGTTGAACATCATCCCAGACAGATGAGCAAGTTTCCACCTCTTTTTCCCTGCAGCTGTGACTTGCCCACACACGACCTAGAACCTTGTAGCAGTCCTTGAAAGTAATACAGCTATAAAGGCAGTAGTGTGTTGTGTCACCCATTGAGGTATGTGTGGTACCTCTGCGGTCGATGGCGGCGGCGTTTTCGTCCTCCAACTTGCGACGTCCTGCACGGCAGAAATACCGACTGCGTGGGTGTGACCGCTCATTTAAAGTAATTGGGAGAAACCATGAAAACATCAGCCTCGAACGCTTCGCCTCCTTGTTCCCTTTCGGTTCAACACCACGATTTTCTACGCGCCCGGGTGGCAGGCGGGATCCTGGCACTTTTCCGACCTATTGGCTCGCTCGCTCACGTCGTAGATACGACCTAGAACACCTCTCCCCCACCTAGAACACTGTTTCCCAGCCAGACTGTTGTTGTCGTGTGTCACAAAGTCTTCAATATTGACCCCCATACTCCGATACATGCACTTCTGCGGCAGTTGCTGGAGGCGCCTTGCGCCCAGCGGACGCCTGTTGTAGTTGGACGTCACAATGATTCTTCTTAAACCCTCTTTCCCTGCCCCAATACTACATGTACTTGTACGATATTTGCAGGAGACTCAGCCGGCGCGGTCTTCACGGTGGGGGGCGTCCTCCTCTCGCCCAATCGGCGACGGTTTCGAGCTCAGCGTCGCGGAGAAGTCGTTCACGGAAATGCTTAGGGAGAAGTGAGTGGTGTGTAGATGTCGACGGTCGTTTTCCATCCCTGTTGGTTTGGGAGAATGCACCCGGTGAGATTGTTGTTTGTTGGTGTTGACTGAATGTTGTTGTTGGTTGGTAATATATTTATTTTGTTGTTGCCCTTACCGGCCCAACTGACACGAACGCCTTCCATGGTAACAAGTCAACTATCCACAAGAAGGGTGTACACTTCTTCTCGTAAGTAAAATAAAATGAAATAGGACCCAGAAGTTATCACAGGCGCATGCAGGACGAGAATATTTTGCGAGGTGTGCATACGCGTGCCTCGGCAGTGAGTTCAAACTACAAGCCGTTCAGTTTTTCTGACAGACGAATGATTTCAACAGATGCTCGTCGGTGGATTGGTCAGTGAGCCACCAAGTGCACTTTTTTTTGTGGTCGCTGGAACCGGATCCGGAAAAGTTTCCAAAATGCCGCGGCGGTCCTTGGCCAAGCCGAGGTACCGCTGTCCGAATGCCGAATGGGTGGGAATGCATAGCTTTCACCCTTCCACACCTGGTGTTCATGTCAGCCTACCGATTTTGTGAAGTTGCAAACATCCCTTGTTTCCAGGAGTCTAGTTGGTCGCTACGACAGAAAGGCCGCAACTCTATTGTACTCGTGTATGCTTTGTGTCGCGGGCTACCTTACGTTGCTGTGAGTGCTGTTTTTTAAATGTTTTTTGGGGGGTTTGGTCGCTGTACCAGGTATTTGTTGTTTTCCTTGACCAACCTCCCTTGGCTGCTCGCTGCCCTCGTTCCGGTTGGTCCGCTCGCACGCCCAGGAAAGCGAAGGGGTCTTTCTTCGCCCCTTCCTCAGAGGCAGCCGCCAACGCCGACGAGGTCGCCGCCGCCGCCGCCGCCGAGGCCACAGCAGCGGCCAACGCTGCCGCCGCCGCAGCCGAAGCCGCCCACCAAGCCAACCTGGAGAGGCAGAAGCTGGCGTTCGACGACGAGACCAAGCCCTTCGTGGCCCCAGGGAGCGTTTCCACCCCGAGCGTATCCACCCCCAGCGTTTCCACCCCGGGAAGCGTTACCCCTCCCGGAGGTGTGTCTAGCCCGGCCGCTGTGTCTACCCCCAGGGTGACCGACCCTGCCAGTGTTGGCCGCCCCAGTGCTCCCGCGGCGCCACCCGCCGCCCCCGTCAGCAGCCCGGCTGCCCCTAAGGTAACCGACCCGGCCAGCATTGGCCGCCCTGCCCCCCCGGCTCCCCCCGCTGCTGCTGCCGCCCCTGTCAGCAGCCCGGGTGCGCCCAGGGTGACCGACCCCGCCACTCTCGCCGCCAAGGCGGCAGCCCCCGTGGCTCCCCCCGCCGCCCCCGCCAGCAGCCCGGCTGCTGCTTCCCCCGCAGCCGGCGCCGGAAAGAAGTGGGAGCCCAGGCCCGACTGGAAGTCTTCCGCTCGCTCTGCCGCCCCGTCGAGACCGGCCGTTTCTTCTCCGTCGAGGCCGGCTGTTTCGAGCCCCGCCGCCGCGGCGGCTGTTTCGAGGCCCGCGTCTGGCGGCCCGGCTAAGGCTACGTTCAACCCCAAGGCGGACGCTCCCTGGAAGGCCTCGGGAGGCGGGGCCCCTGCCGCCCCCGCCTACGCGCCTCCCCCCGCGGCTGCCCCGGCGTACGCACCCCCGGCGGCAGCTGCCCCGGCGTACAGCCCCCCAGCGGCGGCGCCTAAGGCGGTAAGTTGCTGTGCGCAGGAAGTCAGCGTTATTTTTTCGAGTATTGACGGGAGAAAGACACTGTTAGCCCTGGGCCTGACCCCCCTTTTTGGTGTATGCGCGTGGTCGGGCTGTTGGTCGAAAAACCACGAAAATAAAGTTTTTCCGCTTTTTAGGTCGCTAGCGCCAAATCTGGTTTTGACTTGATATTAGAAAGCGAGAGGAGAATGCGGAATGCTCGATGCCACAAACGAACTGGCTCTTGCGCTTCAGTACACACCTGTGAACAGGACATACCTATGGATTCATCGGTCAGTTTTTCAATCGGCGGATTCTAACCCACCACTCTAAAAACAAGTGATTTTCGGCCCTATTCGCCTGCTGCCACGAACGTGAGCAACTTCAACGCAAATCGCCACCGATGAAATCGTAGCTCTCCTTCTCAGCAAGACGACGCAACAAGCCACGCTAGAATCCATTGCGTCATCGTCGCGCAAAACGAATCCCCAGATCGGGTACTCATCGGGTACTCATGGGTACGTCTGGGAAGAAAAAATCGCCGGACTCAAGGAAAAAACGAAAGCAAAAGTTCTCGAGACAAAACGAGATATGTGTCGAAAAACATGGTATGACGATGGAGGCCAGGGCGTCGCAAGCCAGGTTCGACGGGCTCGTGCAGAAGGCAGACGTCAAGGAGTTGACACGGGTGATCTGTCTCGGGTGTGGAAGCGGGGGCGAAGCAGGCGCGACGGTGGAAAAAATTCAACTTGCTGTGTGGGATTCGATTTTTTCATCAGCATGCGTTTTTTTCTGCTCATAAAGACTTTTGGGCGACATTGCGTGACTCCACTACCGGCGCTGCACTGCAGCTCCTGCCACCGTTCCTGCGCCATGAGTAGCAGTGCGTGCCCTTCCTTCCTTGCAGTGTCTCTTCAACCCCGTGTGGGATTGGGAACGGTGGCGGCGGCTTCAGTTCTTTTTTTGTACCATGTTGAAAAATCAGAGACCCTACCTGCTGCTCTTTTCTCGTTGGGGGTGTTTGTTTTCCCGCTCATCTCTGACATTTGTACCGGGCGCAACGGCTCTGCCGCCGGCGCTACTGCAGCTCTTGCTACCGTTCCTGCACCATGAGTAGCAGTGATTTTCTTACTTTCCTCGCAACGCCTCTTCAACCCCATAGATGGGCGAGAAGGGCGGTGGCGGCTCAGTTCCATTTTGGTACACGTTGAAAAAATCAGAGACCCTGCCTGCTTCTTTTTCTCATCGAGGTGGGGGGTTGTTTTTCCGCTCATCTCTGACATTTGTACCCGGGCGCAACGGCTCTGCCGCCGGCGCCATTGCAGCTGTTTTGCTACCGCTCCTGCACCATGAGTAGCAGTGATTGTCTTACTTTCCTCGCAACGCCTCTTCAACCCCATAGATGGGCGGGAAGGGCGGCGGCAGCTCAGTTCGTTTTTTGTAGCATGTTGAAAAAATCAGAGACCCTACCTTGCCCTACCTACTCTTTTCTCATCATCGATCGGTGTTTTTTTTCCGCTCTCATCTCTGAAATTTTTGTGCCCGGGCGCAACGGCTCTGCCGCCGGTGTTACGGCAGGTCATGCGACCGTTTCGGCGCCATGAGTATCAATGACTGCTCTTCTCTCTATGCAATGTCCCTGCGGCCCCACAGCCGGGTAGGAACGGGGGCGGTTGCAGCAATCCCATGTCGATGTCAACTAAAAAAATAACGAGACACACCACACCCGATGTTCAGTCTTTTCGCTTGGCAAAACTGACGTGGCTGCCAAAAATGCGAGGATTGATTGGTCAGGAAATAAAAGTTTCAGAAAAATGGGCTGTTCGAAAGAACCTCCGCGTGACAGAAATTTGGCCCAAAAACAGGGTCAGGCGCATGGCTAACTGTTGTAGCAGTACTGCCGGGACATGTCATGGGGAAGGAACCTCAACGTCGTTCGTGGCGAATGGCTAGTTGCGTGTGTGTCACTTTTCCAAGAGCCGTGGCCGTGTTTTGCGGTAAAGACAGTAGTGCGCGCGAAAGGTCAAAAACAAGAAATTTGCGTCCTAAGGTGTCCACCGCCGTTTTGTCGAAAGCGCTCTCCACCGGGAGCACCCTCCTGGAGCTGGCTCGAAATGAAACGGCTGTGATTATGAAGGAGGAACGTATGCGTTAGCGACACAAGACAATTTGGTTGCCCCGTCAGTTCTTTGGATCACGTTTTAGTCGTGTTTGGGCAGTCCAGTGTCATTCCTTCGTCCCTCTTACCGTCGCTTCTTTTGTTCTGAAAGGCTGGCGAGAAGCACATCGGCACTGGCGGCATGGCAGACACCCGCGACCCCGCACCCGTGGACCACGAGGACCCCCGCAAGTCCATCTCTGCAGCGCCCTCCTTCGCGGAATACCTCAAGTCCAAGAAGAACTAGAGGAAGTAGATTATCCGCGCGAGACGTGCGCTCGCTTTCGAGTATGTGGAGCTTGACCTGGATCCGTCAGCAGACGGGTGAGGGCGATCCGGGCCCAGCTTTGAAGCGGGGATTGATGTCTTCCGTTTTGTTTCGTGTTCGTTGGGCGGCGGCATGGGAGGCAGTGCGAAGTTGCTAGAGAGACGGGCACACAGGCACTACAACGCCACGCCCGCTGGTGCAGAAAGACGAGCCTGAACGCAAAGTGTGAGGCGACGGGGGTTGGTTGTACAATTTTAGCGGTTCGCGGAGAGCGCCGGGCTCGGTCGATAGCGTGGCTGACCTGGCCCGAGCACATTTGCGGGGCGAGTGGATGTCGTGAGACGTTGAATCCCACGAAGTGTTGAAGAAGCCGGTGACAGCGCGTGCCGCTGGGCGAAATTAGTAGGGTGTGTTTTTGATAGGTTTGAGACATCTATCGAAATTTAGATACAGGTGGTATAATTCCTAAGTGTTTTCATGCAATGCTGTGTTCGTTTTTCATGTCCCTTTTCTGCCGCTTGTCAACTGCTGCTGCTGTGCGAGAACGTGAGGGCAAAAACCTTGGTACCAAGGATTCCATTCCTCGTCCCTTGCTCTTTGCTCCGAGTTTAGGTACGGCAACACCCATCGTGGTGTTTGATATCGCCAGGCATGAAGTCGGAAAAACAATGACTAGATGTCGGCTGGATGATGATGTGGCAGCAGAGTTGTACGCCTTCCCAATTTTGTAAAGGGCGGGGAGTGTTGGGATCAAGGTTCATCCTGTTTGGGCTGGTACCAGGTGTTTCATTGAGGGAGAGCAACGGGGTACCTGCCCTCCCCTTGTGGTTGAATTACGCCGAGGAGGAGCCAGACAAGCAACAGCATGTTTCCTTTCGGCAACGAAAGGCGGCACTCAGTCGCGGAGGATGATATTGGGTGGGAAGTCCTGAAGGCCCTTCTGGGAGGTTGTACAGCAGTAAATACGTAATGGAAACATCTATGCATACCACTGGAGCCTGCTGCTATCGGAGGAACGCTAGCCTATAACCGGAACGAACGGGGGAAAAGGGCGTCGTCGCAAAATGTTTGGAAAAATGTTCCTTTTGGCCGCTCATTAGAAAATGCTTGTTCGAAATAGGGGGTACCTCGCAACAGATGTTCACGAATTTTTCAGAGATAAGACCGTTGTCATGCTCATGACCGTAAGGTCATGAAACGGTTAAACACCATCCATGCGTTACAAAATATACAACGCGACGCTTGGAACCGGGCTGAGTATGAATGTCCTTGCTCATCGTGAACGAACGTGTTGCATCGTCCCGGACGTGATGGCGCGAGACTCCCTCTTATCTTAGCTTTGGACAAAACCGAGCCACCGGAGCCATCATTTAGACGTGCTGGCACATCGGATGGTACGCAGTGCTTCAAGCAGTGTTCACAACCGTAGGAGCCGCTTGTGTGTCCGCATTTCTTGCGGTCGGTGTCGCTCGACTAGTCATGACGACCCTGTCGTGTACACAACAGTCCCTAGTAGAGACTACATATTCACGGAGCAAATTATGCCTGTGCTGCTTGCATCCTGTTTTTGCATATTTCTGTTCACAAGCATGGCGCTTTTTGTGCTACTATCGCCCCTCTGTTTCCCCCCAACTTCTACATGGAGTTGACAATGAACGAGTGTACAATGCCCGAGTTTAGCAAGCAACCTCCTGACGTCTCGCAGAGCTTACCTGCGTGAGTGAGGTATGTATATCCTCCCGTTCGTTGTAGATCTTATAGACTGCAAACAAAACTCCTCCAAGCTCTCGTCCTAGATGGAGTAGTAGTGTGGTGAGTGCTGGCACCAGAATATATGGGAGGAACGCAAACACCCACAAGCGGTGGCTCAAAGCATTCGTAGTATTTAACCTTGGAGCTGTTTGGATACTTAGACTCAACAGAGGAAAAGATTAAGATTCGCCGCGATCGGTAAACGTTTGTGTTTTCCTGTGGGACACACGAGTGAGGGAAGACTACAATCTTTCGGGTGAGGTGAATCTCAACGCAAACAGAATTGAGCGAGGTGGTAAACCGCATGCGCAAGTATGCGCATGTTATCCTCTCGGATGCGCAGAGTGGGACCCCAATATTTGGTATGCATGATCAATAGGCAGCCCGGGGGGTAGCCCCGGCCTCATCTGAAGCCCTTCACAGGTGGCCAAACGTGCACATTATGTGCACCTTATCACAATGCCGAATATTATGCGGTCTATTTTCACTTAATACAACGTCCCAGGTTGCTAACCCAGGTGGCATAACCTGGCCAGGTTAGGCAAGCATACAATGCATAACCTCGTGGGTCGGGTAATCCTTGGCTCATAACGTCGCCAGATTGGGCCCTGATCATGCAACGTTGTTCTGCGCGCTCGGGACAAACGTTGGCAGCCGGATAACAAGTACCAGGTTTGTTTGTGTTCTTTTGTATTAATTTGTCGGTCGTAACTCGTGCGTTAGCACGTATATGCTAGTTCCCGTGCGTAAACACCGTGGTGAGCGCATGACCCCCGGCAAAAACAAACTATGGCCTATTCTGCAGAGACACAAAAAAGCCTCAACCCAAGTTTGACATTGATCTACGCGACAATCGCAAGGTCCAGCAAACGACAATCGTGGCCCATGCTTTGTTGAGGGAACGAACTACGTAGTACGTGTACGCGCGAGAGAATGACGGCGGCACGAGGGCGGACAAGATGGCCGCGGCTTCCCGAACAAAGTGTCATGTCGGCTTAAAAACATTTGACACCCAGCCCCACACAGCCATAACCGGCTCCACACACGTTTTCGACAGGTTCATCACTTCGCGACCTTCCGCGCAAACAATCACTTGCACCAAAGAAGCCAAGAATACACATCAATATTTCAAGATACAATAGTCGGTGCGAGTGAGGATACACGCTCCGGTAGACACTTCTCCGCATATACTAAAAGGTCCGGAGATTGACCGACTACCCCCCAAAAATCAAAACACCTAGGCCTTGACAAAACGTTGGTCCTCGTGCCCATTCCCCGAGGTGTGAGCACGTCACTGATGCCAGCGAGTCTACAACAAAACGGCGGTCGTTTCGTGGGCTTAAAGTCAACCCGGTCGAAGCATACAACAACACGTAACACCCTTAAAAAGCTGCAGCCCCCCCCCCCCAGCCGCCCTCCCCGACCCACGGTTCCCCAACTCCCCCAGGCTCCACACAAAATCCCGACCAACTTACCACCCGAATGATCGGACTTCCCGCGACCCAAAGAAGCAACCGGCGCACGCCATCGTCAACATCCATCCCGTCCGCACGTACTACGCGTCTGGATATTGAGCGGAAGCCCAAAGAGCATAAGGCGTTGACATGCTCCCCTTTCCCAATCATCGAAAACAAGCGCCGCGACGGTTGCGCCTGACCGATGCCAGAGAACCGAAGAAACACACCGGTCGTTTTGCCGGCCTTTCGAAGAAGATGTTCGCCACGCCGGTGTCGCGCTGACGCGAACCTTTCCTTCATGTGACTGAACAACATACAGGCGGTCCAAAACAAGCAAACCGGGGACGGTGTCATCAATCGGCCCAGGAATTTGGTTTCGAGTAGAAACGCTAGGGTTTTACAGACGGTCGGCCGACCACCACGAACTTGAGTGTCGATTGAGAATTTAGGACTGTTGGTGACCAAACAACTCGCAAAGTACAAACGTACTTGAGCGAATATGTTCTACCTTCTACATACGATAGTGGAACAGCCAATAATTGGCGTTGGCCGCCACCCACAAGCCCAAAAGGGTTATTCCTGTCTCTCGAAAATTGAGGAGGAATGTATTGAACTAAAAGTCGATACTAAACAGATAACCGCCAACGACCGCACATACCCACCCTCCCATCAACCTCCTAGCCTTGAGAAACCTTGAGACACCCCAAGTATCTTTCTACCGCCACTGCGGAAAGCCAACTCGAACGAACTGGATGCACTGCACAAGACAACATGGGTGCTCGCCTGGATGAATATTCTAGTTGTCCAGGTCAGTGTCGCCAGCATCCATCCTTTCTTCGTCGCTCTCGCTGCTGTCGCTCTCGCTGCTGTCGCTCTCGCTGCTGGCGCTCTCGCTGCTGGCGCTCTCGCTGCTGCTGCCCAGGACGTACTCCGGCTCGGTGTAGGCGTTTTCCTGCCCACTGCTGCCCTCCTCTCGACCGCGGCCCTCCTCTCCACCGCTGCCCTCCTCGTCCTCGCCGCCAGCGTCGCTCATGTCGCCGACGCCGTCGGCCAGGTTGTCGTGGGTGGCTGCAGTTTCAGCGTCGTCGCCACCCAGAACGCCGTTGATGTAGTTGTAAGGAAAAAAAAATCCTCGGCGACTTCCAGCGAGCATTCGTTGCGCGCCGGGAATTCGCCACGAGCTTTCTGGACGAAGCCGAGCATCATGTTCTTGAACCTGTGATACATATGGGTTGGGCGAGACGACAGGATAGACGTCAGCGGTTAGAATGCTGAGCCGAAAAATCTCGTCGCGAAACGTTTCAAGTCCGGGATCACTGCACCGCTGCATCCTTCTTGGATGTAGTTTCAAGACATGCACGACTCGTACAAAATCTTCGTGATACCCCTCCCCTCTAACACGAGTGTCAAAACACACTTGCCAACAACAGACTACGAACAGCTAGTGTACAAAGGCAACAAGATACGAGGGTTAGTCTTACCGTGCGAGGAACACTTTGTGCTTCTTGCCGCCTCCGCCCGGGGGGGGG